CCACTGTTTTCTTTTCTAAAGTTTTTATTAAAATTTTTCATTCGTTTTGTAAAAATGTCAATTTTTCTCCGCAAATAATTTATTATTTTTAATTTTTTTATTATTATTATTTATTATACTACCGACTGTTACTGACAGGCAAAAAATAATTGCAATGCTTTGTGCTGTCGTAAACACCATTTGCATACTAATTTTCGGTGACAAATAAGTTAGGGTAGTGTGTATGTTTGATTGAGCGTACGAGTATRTGCTGTGCCATTGACGATACCGCTTTTTTTGCAATTATCAAGTGTTGAAATGGTATTTTTATTTTGTCGGATGTATCGGTAGGTTTTTGTGTTTCATTTTCGTTTTATTCCAAGTTATGGCAACAAAATGCGATTTAAACAAGTTGTTCCTGCAATCAGCTGCAAACCGCTTATTCGTRCAATTTTTTCAACTAATTACCGTTGTTTACATTTTTGAAATATTTACTTCATTTAGGTCAGTACAATTAACCCAAGTGTCTATCACACGGCCTCACTTATAGGACTGCTGCCGGCGCAGATTATCAACGCGTATTTGGGCTCAACGTTGCGTTCAATGCAGGAAGTGCTGAGCAACCATGGCACGGCGGTGACAGGCTACATCAGTTTCGGACTGGAGGTGAGGAATTTTAAAGTTTTTTTTTATATATAAATTTGAACTGTTGATAATTTTAGCAGCAAGTCTTGAGTTACACTAAACACGTTTTGTATATAAATCAACTCAGTTTGGTCGATAGACTTAATGGCCGATTTGTAATCTAAATTATTTCATAGCTAAAGTCGTTAGCAGCTTAATTGCTTCAATGCCTAATAAGATACATGTTTACATATATGTTTTTATATGTATGTATTTTTGCATATATGATTAATTGTGGTATAATAGTATCTTAAATATCAATTATTGCATATTTTCATGCAAACATTGTTCCCAAAGTTCTATATTAAGGCAGTTGTAAGTCTTATATTATCTTCTCCTTGATAATTTCAATTTTAAACGAAAATAATCCAGCGCATACGTAGACATATGGTATATTTTTGAGATAAAAATTTTATACATTATACTCTTTTGCAAGCACGAGCCCCACAGTCGGCATTCACAACTTTTTTGTTTAAAAAACAAATCCATTTGAAGCAGCTGGATCAACGTTGTTTACACAGCATTTTTACACAAACAAATTGGCACCATGCTAAATATTTTAATCTATGTATATGTACATATGCATGCAAAGTAATAAATCTAAATCTTTAATGCCTGCTTATCGGGCAGACAGTCTAACGAATTATACTTTGTAAAGCCAATTTGTCGAAAGCAGGCAGGTGCAGTGCCCCTTATATATAGTAAATTTATAAAATTTATGAATTTTCTTAACGCTCGATGAAATTCGCAAAATTTTACTTCTAATTTATTTTTTATTATAATTATTATTTATAATTTAAATACTACTTTTCGTGCATTGTATTTATTTACGGAGGTAAACAAAACAGTTTGAGAACTCAATGCAAACAAAACTGTTGTTGCGACTGCATATTGGTTGCGCCTGAAACTATGCTATTCAAACTGTTAGCATAGCACTGCCGTTGAAAGAAAAATTTATGATTAATATGAATATTATTCAATAATTAAAAATATTTGTGTATATAAAAAATTAAAAAATATGTGTGAATATTAACATAAAAAAATATAAAAAATAAAAAATTAAAAAATATGGATGATTATAAACTAAAAAAATTATTAAAAAATAAATAAAAAATTTATTTAAATATTAAAAATTAAAAGATATATGTGGTTATGAATAATTAAAAAAAAGCAATTTTTATATACATATGTATAAACCATATCTTTTTCAACAATTGCCATTAAAGCGCTCGCTAACTAATATCGCTYTTCCTCCACTCTCAGGTCATTTGTGGTGTGGCGCTCATGGTTTGGGTTATACAAAAGGCGCGCAAGGAATTGGCTCAAACACTACTCTCCGAAGTCAGCAGCGATGGCAAACTGATCGAAATCGATGTGTGATTCTTGTACAATTTCAAGTACAAACCACCTGCATGTTAGTGTGCGCTTCTAGGGCCGTCGAGCAGTATTCATTTTGCAATATGAATAACTACTAAATGCTCAAATCAAGCTCGAAAACCAAGGCTGGCTATTGCCAACTTTAGGATATGACTATAACATACTTCCTGTAAACGTTTGTGAAAACGTTAAACGCTCACTATTATATACATACATACAAATGAAAGACTATTTTATAAAAAAAAAATTGCTCTCTTATTTTGAAAAGCAAATTATTTATGTATAATTTCGTTTTTTCGTTTTAGTTCGTAAAAACATACTTATGAAAATTGTTATATTATACAAAAAAATTATAATTAGTAATAAAAAAAATAAATATACGAGCATATTTTGTRTATTTCGAAGTAAAGCCAAATTAATGTTGTGTATTTGTAAAAAATAATTGCGTAATATAATTTTGTAAATATAAATTATATAACAATATATATTTAATAGGAAGTAATCGTACATGATGTAGCATTAAATCTGCAATAAAGACAAGTATTAGCAAAAATTATGCATAATACGTTACGTTTAACGTTTTTTATATTGAAAAAAATAATTTTTCATTTATTTATGCGCTTAAGTGTTTTTTGATTTGATTGCATTCTTTGTATTTTTTTATAAACAATGCAATAAATTTCGTATTTAAAATAATAAAGTAGCATTTAAAAAACTCTATTTTATACATTAGTCTATTTGGTTATCATTGTAATACTTTTCTGAATTGGAAAAATTGTCACACTCGCTTTTAAGCTATCTCTACAAACAGTCTGAGTTTATGAAAAACAACCAAACTGTGCCTATACCTTACATATATATATAATTAAAATATAATTTTCTGTGCTTTGAAAAACAGTTTAAAAAATAATTTTTTCTATTTTTTTGCATTTGCATTTTTCCTTATTATTATTATTATTAACGATTTTCTTAGCTGCCAAAATGACACGTGATCATAGTTTCAGCTGCATATCAACTTACATATGTACATATATTTGTGAATATGTAACTTTAATTATTATAACGAATATTTATATGGAAAGTGTTTACTGAAGGTCTAAGCTGTTGTTAGATTTATAAAGCATTTTTGTAATGGAAAATACAATATATTCGAATGTACATGTTTTATATTCTAAGTTGTAGAATTGTTAGAAATAAATGTGAAATCTTGTCAGCCTAATAAAAATACGTATTTCTGAACAACATTTATATTTTCGCAATAATTTATTTATTTATATTTGCATATCCAAAATCACTGTTAGCAGAAAATCATTTTTAGAGAAAACGCATCTCGAGGAGCCGAGCAATACAAAGCAGCAAAGAAGGAACTTAAGCACGCCATCGATGATAGCAAAAAGAARAAATGGGAGGAACTACGCGAGGATATTAAAAAAAAGCTCTTGGAGACTTTGGTATAAAACAGTTATGAAAAAACTCGGTGCTCGATCAAAGCGACCTAACTTAAACGCTGCCAAAATGGATCACATCGTAAACGCACCGCTCCCCACACACAAAAAAAGGGCTAGTGATCCAGAACAGACTCGTAAGAGACTCGTAGACACTGGCAAGCTCAAGATCAATAAATCACTGGGGCATTACGGAATCCCAGCAGAAATCCTGAATCGCTGCAGAGCGACCGCCTATACTATTGTATATGTGCAACAACTGCCTCGAAGCCGCTTTAGACTCGGCAAATCAACTCTAGGRGCTATAAAATGCGTCATTAAAAGTGTAGAAGCCGCAAATGRATGGCCAAAATACAAAAGAATAGTGTTACTGGCAACTTTGATGTCCGGAACGTCTTCAACAGCGCTAGGTGGGTGGATGTGAGCGACGTTCTCAAAAAMCCCGAATACCTAAGAGCTGTGATGCGGAAAACTGCTGTACCAGACTTGTGGAGCAGCAGCTACGACGCTACAACAACATCAACAACGCTATACTAAAACTCGAAATGCTAGACGAATCCTACTTAATTGGCTACGCGGACGACATAGCCGCGGCGCTAAGAAAGCTTAATCAGGTCATGATATGGACGCAAGCATGGCTTGATTTACACAAAAATTTATATTTCTTAATTTTAATAAAAAAAAATCGTATACATTATTATGTAAAAAAATTACAAAAAAATATATTAACAAAAAAATTCTTTTTTTTTTGTATAAATTATTATTTTTTTATTTGATAAAATGAAGTAATAAAAAAAAATTGTATACATTTTTATAAAATAAAAAAATAAATATATATATTTTTTTAATTTTTATAAAATAAGTTCATAAAAAATTCGTATACATTATTAAATGTGACCTGGTTACGAAAAGGTATCTAACGTGCGAAAAAAAAACAGAAAAACAGCTGTTAAAAAATAGCATCTCATCTTCCATCCGAATCAACTAAATAGTGAAAATTAATTTTTTGACACCTATGTAAGTCCCCTTTCCGTAGACCAGGTCAGAATAAAAAATATATAATATTTTATATGAAGAAAAATAATTATTTTGCTTAAAACTATTTTGTATATTCTTTTATAAAACTAAACTGCTAATTTCAAGTRCGTTTTTTGAAATATTTTTAAATTTTCTAATCTCAYAGCGTACATATGAGGAGTGTCTTTYCAAAAWAGAACAYTTAATTTTTCTTYTAATTRGGCTCRAATCCAGTTCTWAGTGTTAATATATATTAACAGATTATGATCTAAACACGACAGCTTTCAAGTGAAAAAGTTCTAAATGTGAGTGTTCATTTCTAAACGGAATATTTTTACTAATAAAAATATTTCAAAAAATAATGTTTACTTATTCCGTGACAAATAAGTTAAGATAGAAATAAGTTATCCCCTTTTGAAAAGACACTCCTCACATAATTTTACAARTTTTTGTTGTAAAATCCTCTTACAAAACATTTTGTGGAGTATCACCACTCCTGCTACGCATATTTGTGCATTTCTCTTSTGTGTCTACGGCAGTGCCGTACTGACCATCTGTTGAATTATATTTCATGCTGAGCCTGAGCTATTTGCTCTTCAGACATTTCTACGCCAATTGCGTATTCTTTTCTCCAGATGTTGTTTGCATACTGTCTCGATGACATGCAATGCCAAGTCCACGTCGCTATAGGTGACGCAGAGTGGCGGACAAATGCTGAGTACCTGGGAAATTTCATAAAATGTAGACGAAATTTGTTAGGCTACTGACATTTTTAATTATTTGTATTTTATATACATACATGGTTAAATTAAAAATAGAAATGCCATGCATAGAAATATTTGTTTGTGCTTGGCTAAGAATTTCTAGATGAAAGGATAGGATTGTGTGCTTGTATGTGCATTGATAGAAAGTGAGGTTATAAAAAAATATACATATTTTGCTTTGATTTTAACTTTTCCCTTTATGAAGATAAACTAAAATTATTAATATGAAAAGAAAATATTTTAAATTAAT